TTCGAACACAACTGTTACTTCTGTCACATCTAGCGAGACCTCGACACTGAGTACGCTGACGGATCTCACGGAAACAAGCTCATCGTACAGTTCCTCGACAAGCTCTCCATATAGTTCTACAGACTCTTCATATAGTTCATCGGCTGGCTCGTCTACAAGCACTTCTGCAAGCCCATCCGCTTCTGACTACCAACCACCCCCGCCATCCTCGATCATCTCGGAAACAATCTATACATACTCAGACTACACCACATGGTCCGTGCCATCCGATGCACCCTTCACCACCACGGTGGATATCACATCCGAGTACCCGGAAACCCCAGTCCCAAGCTCAAGCTCGTTCTCGTTCTCCATCCTTCCTCCATCCCCGACCCCATCATCCAGCTCCACCCTGGTGACAACAAACACCGATGCTGTGCCCACGAGCTACTCAGCCTCTTCCTCTTCGTCTTGGCACCCGGCATCTGAATCTGGGGATGGCATCACTATTTCCTCCGTGAACCCGTCGACCTTTTCGACGGTCACACTGACGACGGTCACTACGGTGGTGAGTAGCACGATCAACGATGCGGAGTCTTCAACCACGAGCGAGGCGCTGGACAGCAAGACAGACGGATATGTGCCGCCAACGCCGACGTATGATCCGAGGGCTGAGAGGGTCAGACGGGGAATGGTGAGTCCAGCTTAGTTCCATCCACTCCCACTCCATCGCCTTCAACAAGCATGTGCTAATGAGTAGTGGGTGTAGATGGGCATGTGGTTCATGTAGTCGATCGCTCCAGGTGCCTCATCTCTCGTCTCCATCCGACAGGCTTTCTCCACTCCTCGGACCGCGAAGACTGGTTTGAGGCGAGGCGGGGTGATGATAGACGACTCGATCCATAAAGCAAAAACACAGAGTAATACAAATGACACTTCATAGCATTTTCTAATATTCGCTTCTCGACGTTCCTTTCTCGCTCCGTGTGCGGATGCCCGACTGGCTGGCTGGCTGTTCGTTCCTTATTCTGGTTCGTTATTTGAGGGAGTTTTTGGCCGTGGATGGTAGTGGCCGTGGTATGAAGATGGTGGGGAGGATGGGGAAATGTGAGATAGCTAGGAATATAAAATATATGGTTGTGCCGATCTATTCCTCCATCTGATTTGCTGAGTGAGCCATGATTTTGAGTGATAGTCGTCCAGTGTTTCGATGAGGACAGATATTCGAGGAGAACTCTTTCTCGATAGATTCCTTGATCAGGCGTTGCGAGGCGACGATCTGGGCGCGGGTCGTTTGCGTTGCGAGATCCATTCTAACCCGTGCGGCGACGACACCAAGAGGGAGGGATAGGAAGTCTGAGAAGGAGAGGAAAGAGAGGATGGCTGTCACTGCATTGGCGATGTACACGCCGTCCTTGGTTTGGGGAGGCAGTTCGGGGAAGTGCTAGCTGGAAGCTCCCGGAAGCTGCAGATGTTTATGATCTGAATCGTCTTTGTAGGCTTTGCGGTCGTTGCCCAGGGTCAAACGTCGCCGTCAGTAAGAAACGGTATAGGATTTTTGGCGTCGGACGTGCCCATTACGATGGTGGCTAGGTCCACGGATTTCAGATCATCGAGGGTGGAGTACTTGAGGGGGTCGAAGAAGGAGGGCGGGATGCAGATTATGCGTGTGCACTCCTTGGGGCAGACCACTAGCGTAGTTGACCATAAACATGAATATTTGCACGTGACGCGTTTGCCTTGCAGCACGCCCACCCACAAAGACCGTGCTCAGGCAAAAATCGATAACCAAAAACCGCACTCCGATCCTGTATATATATTAAATAAGTTGACAATCATCTCACCAAATAAACTCAACATAAGGCTCCTTCGGGATAGCGCAGTGGATCATGATGTGCCACACACACATTTCGCCACTGTTGTGACTGCTGG